GTGGGGGTTTGGAGGATGGCAATGGGGTGAGGGTTTGGGTGGAGGTTTGGGGGGTCCCACGGGGTGGGGGTTTGGGGGAAGGACATGGGGCAGAATCTTGGGAGTCTGATGGGGTGTAGGTGGGGGTTCCCACGGGGTGGGGTTTGGGGGACGCCCTGTGGGGTGAGTTTTGGGGGGCTCCCATGGGCGCAGCTCTGTGTGCTGAGCGCCATCCCTGCTCTGCTCCCCCAGGTCTTCGTGCTGCTGTTCATCTTTGTGAAACGTCAGATCATGCGCTTTGCCATGAAGTCCCGGCGCGGCCCGCACGTCCCTGTTGGGCAGCACGCGCCCAAGGTCGGTTCCTGCAGCTTCTGCATCCAAATGGGGCACGGCTGGCAGCTGCCACCCTGGCGTGGGGACAAACGGCTGCAGAAGGAATGGGTTCCCTCTGCTGCACGCCAGGCCTGGGCTGCACTCATCCCTGTGATCCCGCCGAGCCGGGGAGCGCTCTGAGTTTTTTCCTCTTGTTTTCCTGCAGGATTTAAAGGAAGAGATCGACATCAGGCTGTCGAGGGTGCAGGACATCAAGTATGAGCCCCAGCTGTTAGCTGAGGATGACAGCAGACTCCTGCAGCTGGAGACGCAAGGTACGATCCCAGTGAGCACAGACACGTCGTCGTTCTGCTGTCACATCCCTGGGGTTGGGCTCTTATTGCTGGTCCTATTGGACCCATTGGTCCTATTGGGGTTTTTCTGTGCTCCTCTCAGCCCTCGCTTTGCTTTTTCTCTTTTCCAGGCTGCTATAATTACCTGTACAGGATGAAGGCGCTGGATGCGATTCGGACATCAGGTGAGGGGCAGAGAGGGGGGAGTGGAGGGAGGAAACAGGGCTGCATTGGGCAGAGGTTGGGCTCTGCTTTGAGAGCAGTGGTCGTTAAGCCCCCCAGGGTCGTCTCTGCTCTCGCAGTGGCAGCAGTCATTAATTGGAGGCAGCAGAGTGGTGGGAGGTTTAAGGAGCCGCAGACCTTCAGCTTTGTCACAGCCGTTTTTGCTCCGTGCTTCAGCAGGTTGTGCTGCACTTTTTATTTTCCAGAAATCCCGTTTCAGGCAGAGGGCAGATACCCAAAATCTTTAATAGGGAAGAACTTCTGTGCCTATCTGCTGGAACTGAGGAACTCCAGCAGCTCCTTCAAAGGCATCCGCAAGGCCTTGATCGACGCTTTGCTGGACGGGTATGAGAACGCCCGCTATGGCACCGGGGTGAGTGGGGCTGCCCCTGTCCTGCGGCCCTGTGCAGGGCTGTTGTGTTGTGCCCTGAGCCTCTTTTCAACCTCTTTTCTGTTTGTGTGAAGGTCTTTGGGAAGCCGGAATATCTGAAGTACCAGGATGCTTTGAACGAGCTGGCAAACATGTAAGTCTTGCAGCCTGGGTGCAGTGTTGAGTGTTTGGGCCTCAGCAACCCGTCCTGGTGCTGTGAGCAGAGGGGTAAAAACAGCCCAGGGTGTGAGGAGCTCACGTCGGTCTGTCCTTCATATTTCCCTATCCTTTGTGTGTTCTGGGGCTTGTCACTGCATCACAGCCACGTTCCTTCTCACACCTTTGTGCCAGGGGCTCAGCACAGCCCCCAGGCCTGGCACAGAGGAACACATCTTTGGTTTTCAAAACGTGAGAGCTGCTGTCCAGGGGGCAGATCTGCCCCGTGTGGGGCAAACCCCACGGCCAAACAGCTCCTTGGGGGAGAGGCTGCATCCCTCCCCCCCTGTGCTGATCACACCTCTCCCTGCAGGACCAAGGCACGGGCAGGGAGCAGCCAGAGGCAGCACCAGTCGGCAGCCAAGGACCTCACTCTGTCCCCCGAAGTATCCAACCCTGCCACCATCCAGGTCACCTACCTGCCTTCCAGCCAGAAGAGCAAACGTGCCAAACACTTCCTGGAGCTGAAGAGCTTCAAGGACAACTACAACACGCTGGAGAGCACGCTGTGAGCAGGGACCTTCCGTGAGCCCCGTGCTGGGCACAGCAAACCCAGGGGGGGTTTTGTGCTGGGATGAAGCAGTCGTGCTCTCGCTGTCCCTCTCGCAGGACGTAGGGCTGCTGGAGCCCTCCCTCCTCTGGCAGAGCTGTGCCCCTTTTGTCTGCCTGGGGTGCTGTAGGGTGCTCAAGGCTGGCAGCCTCAGCCCTGTGAATAAACTTTGGTTAGCTGTAACTTATTTATAAAAGACACCGACCCCGGCCAGCTCTCTGCCCTGCCTCTCTTTCCCGTGGTGGCCAGCAGGGGCTGATGCTGTCTATCCATCCTGACTGCGTGGATCTCAGGCTCCGGAGCTGCTCGTCTGCTCTTTCCAAGGGACGAATGCTCTCTCCTTTCCCTGTGATCACCGCCGCTGCTCTCATTGGGCACCAGGACTGCGTGTAAATAGTTTGTCAGCCTCGTGCTGCTCTGAGGACCCGCGTTGGGCTGCGGTTTGTCCTGCATTCGGGGGCACCTGGGGCAGACGCGGCCCTACGGGGAGCAGCTGTCTGCCCTGCCGAGGGCGGTTCCCCCGCTCACCAGCACCGGCAGCTCGGCGTCACCGCACCGTGTGCCACGTGGGGTGGGAAGCGTGCCCCTGCCGTGGGCCTCTGCACTCTTTTTAATTGCTCTTTAATAAAAGGAGTTTCCCCCCCAGCTGGGTGCTGCTGCTGCCGGCTCCGTGCCGCGGTTGCCATGGGGCTGTCGCCGTGGTGATGGGGACAGCGGTGGGGTCTGTGCTGCGATGGCAGGGAGCAGCCGGGTCCCATCCCTGCATCGGGAGGTGGGGAGGGACGGGCGGGAGGGCGCAGCTGCTGCCCCGTAAGGCTGAGCATCCCAAACTCACGGCTTTGGTTGCAGGTCGTGGCGAAGGAGCGCGCCTGTGCGGAGTTGGTGCAGAGGTAGAGGCACAAAAGGGATCCTGGGGGGGGGAAGGAGGGGGGCGAAGGGGTCACAGCGGGGATCCCCACGTTTGTCTTGTCGCCCCGTGTCCCTGCAGCTGGGGGTTGGCACCCGGGGAGCGGCAGCAGGAGATGTGGGCCGCGTCCTTCGGGGCGCTGCGCTGGAGCCTGGAGGAGGAGCTGCGCCTCGCCAGCAAGGAGCTGATGGCGGTGGGTGCCGCCCGGGGGCTCCGGGCTCCTCTTTTTGGTTGCCGTGGGCTTCAATGCCGGCCCCGCAGATGCGGCGGGCGGCTCTGGATCGGCTCCTGCAGGACGAGCGACGGCAGCAGCAGCGGGAGCTGCGGCGATGCGGGAAGGCGTTCCACGTGGAGCGGCTGTGACCGGCGGGCAGCGGCGTCTCCGGGCATCAAACGGCGCTGGGCTGGGAATAAAGCGGCTGAAATAGACGGGGCTGCCGCGTGCTTATGGGGCGGAGGGGCAGGAAAAAGGGGCGGCCCGGCCCGAACCCCGGCGCGGATCCCTTCGTGCGCTGCATCCCTCGCACGCAGCTGCGCCAGGAGATGGCAGCACGGCCGCCCCTCGTGCTCCGCATCCCGGTGCCCGCAGCGCTGCGTGCGATGCCCGCGGTCGGGTCGCTCCCTCAGCCCCTGCCCACGCCCGACCTTGGTGTCTCCCGGCCCCAGGGTCCATCAGCGCTGCCCGGCTCAGCTTATTGACAGGGCCGGGGGCTGTGGGGCCGTCACCCCCCGCCAGCAGCCCTTCATTAGAGCCGCTGTCACCTCGCATCACATCACACCGCACGCGCAGCCCCGCATCCCGGCTCTGCTGCCACGTGTGTCCCCGCCGTCCCCACAGCCCCCCCCCCCGCTGTCCCGCCGCCACCCCCTGCTCTCCACCCTGGGCTGCGTCCCTGTCCCCACGTCCCCCCCACGGTGGCTTTGCGTCCCCCCAGCCCCGTTTTTCTGAGGCCGGTCGTGGCACCAACACGTCGCGTGCCTTCAGCGACGGCCCCGATGTCCCAAACGCGGGGCCTTTGTGCAGCCACAGCCACGTATGGGGCAGCGCAGGGGATGTGTGCAGTCGATCCCCCAAAAGCCGGGGATGGGGATGAGGGTGGGACGGTGGGGGGATGCGGGGCGCAGCTCGTCCTTGGGCAGGGTCACACGCGGCGCCCGACGCGGGCAGAGCGCCGGGCTGTGGCCAACCTCATATCGACATCCCCGCTAATGACAGCACCGTGTGACCGGGGGCAGCGGCAGCGGCGCGGGGCCATCGACCCATATTGAGCGGAGGGGGCAGGGGGACATCGATGGGTAATTAATGGGAACGAGGCCACGTGTGGGGCCGGGGCTCTCGCCGGCCGCATCCCCCCACCGAGCGCGGCTGAGCGCGGTTATAAACAGCGGCCAACGGTGCCAGAGCCACCGCCGAGACCCCCGAGCCGGGCAGGTAAGGAGCTGCGCTTGGGGTCTCTCAGCTGGAGCCGTGCAGGAGCTGTGCTGTGCCATGGGACGGCGACCCCCCTGCCCTGCTCCGGCTTCAGCCCCGCTGCCTTCGCTTCCTTCTCATCCTCCAGATCCCAAAGGATCCCAGAGGAGATGGAGCAGCAGCCCCACGTTGCAGCAGGTGGACCAGGAGCCCGCGGAGCAGCAGCCCCACAGCGGAGGCCGAGCTGGGATGCAGTGGGCGCAGAGCCCCTCTTGCTGCGTGGAGGAAGGAGCCCCGCCACGCTCGGCCCCTTCTCTCCCCTTCTCTTTCTCTTGCAGGGAGCTGAGCCCCGCGTCCGTCCCGCCCTGCCTCTGTCTGATATGTTTGATATTAGGTTGTTTTATTGGAAACCAACTAAATATCAAACATATTCTTACAGCGTCAGGGCCGCCCAGCGCCGCGTGCCGCCCGCGTGGGCTCAGCGCCCACCACCTGTTCCCCGACGCACAGCGATGGGCACGGGGCCCTGTGCCCCCCCCCGCTGCCTCCTGCCCCAAATCCGTGCCAAGGAACTCCTGCAATCCCCCACCCTGCGCCGGGACAACGAGCTCCTGGGTGCCAGCAGCATCTCCTGCCCCATGGCTGGGTGCTGGAGGGGGGATCAGGGGGGTCCTGAGGGCTCAGCTGCCCCCCGCTGCCCCTCTGGAGCTGAACCACGAGGGCCGGGGGCTGCTGCTAAAGCCCTGCTCTTAAAATAGCCTGGGCTCAGCTTGCCCTTTGCCTCACCGCCCCCCCAGGCACGGGGAAAGATCAGCCCGGGGGCAGCGGGGTGCCAGGGGGGGTCGCTGGGGGTGCTGGGGAACGTGTGAGCCACGGCCACCGAGCCAGGGGTGCAAGGAGGGGGGGCCCAGGACCCCATCACCCCCTTGCTCGGGTCTACGTGGAGCTGTCGGGGTGGGACGCGGTGTCCCCGTGCCACCCATATGGGTGTCCCCTTGCAGGGGGGGGCGGGCAGCCAGGACAATGCGGGACCCCCACCTGCCGACCTGCTGCTGCTTTTTATAACTGTCCCAGCTGTTCTGCAGGAGCCCAAATAAGGCTGCGGCCGCCCGGACCCCCCCACGCCAGACAATGGGTCCCGAGCAGAGACTTTTTGGGAGCATGGGGGGGGGTTGGGGAGGGCCAAGAAAGGCAAAGCCCTGCGCCCACGGAGCGGAGCGCGCCCATAAACCGGGCAGCAGCGGGCAGCAGGGCCAGTGAGCGCCGCCCTCCGCCCCACTGCGCTGAGCCCCCGGCCCCGCAGCCATGGAGGCCATCAAGAAGAAGATGCAGATGCTGAAGCTGGATAAGGAGAACGCCCTGGACCGGGCAGAGCAGGCGGAGGCTGAGCAGAAGCAGGCGGAGGAGAGGAGCAAGCAGGTGGGGTGCGATGGGAGATGGCTGAAGGGGGACGGGCGGCAGGGCTGGACCAGAGGGATCAGTGTCCTGTGGGGGGGTCCTGTCCCGTGGGCTCAGTGGCTGGGTGGTTGTGAAGGACCGAGTGGTGTGGGGTGGGAAGCAGCGCGTGGGGGCAAAGAGCGAATCCCCCCAGGCACGTGGGGTTTGTGGTGACGGCTGCGGTGCTTGCAGCTGGAGGATGAGCTGGCCGCCATGCAGAAGAAGCTGAAGGGGACGGAGGACGAGCTGGACAAATACTCGGAGGCCCTGAAGGACGCCCAGGAGAAGCTGGAGTTGGCGGAGAAGAAGGCGGCTGATGTGCGTATGGGGGGTGGGAGCCCCGGCACGGGGATGGGGGACGGTCCCCAAAACGGGGCTGAGCGCAGGGAGGGGGGGGGCAGCGCTGGAGATGGGATCAGCGCTCGGCCATTGGTGGAGGGACGCCGCCAAAGAAGGACGGAGGACAAAGTGCACAGCGCTGCTATTGTTGGCTGCCGGCTCCGAGGGAAACAATGGCACCAGCCGTGCTGGGTTTCACTGCCTGGCAGCCGCATGGCACCACGGCTCTGTTTGGCAGCTGCGGGGCCGTCGCTGTGCTGCCATCCCCGCTGCTTCGGCTCCTGTCACCCCCATGGGACACCGAAGCACCTGGCGACCCTTTGCAGGGCTGTCGTCCTTCTGAGCACCACAGTTTGGGGTCCTGGGGGCTCGTCGGCCCCACGGCTGTGCTGTGGGGGGAGGTGACAGAGGGCACGGTGTGCTGTGCTCCCCACGTCGCTGGGCTCCGTTGGTCACAACTTTATTGGGCTCCTCGCTGCCCTGCGTCAACGGCACCACTGTGATCATCGGGCCGGGGCTCATGGCGGGTTGGGGCTGTCGGTCCCTATGGGGTGCGGTGGGGTGAGGGGGGTGAGGGGAGGGGAGAGGAGAGGAGGGGAGGGGAAGGGAAGAGAGGGGAGGGGAGGGGAAGAGAGGGGAGGGGAAGGGAAGGAAAAGGAAGGGGAAGGAAAGGGAGGTGAGGTGAGAAGAGGTGAGGGGAGGGGAAGGGAGGTGAGATGAGGTGAGGCTCAGCGCTGCCGGCAGAGGGTTTGGAGCAGAGCTGACCTGGGAACGGGGGCACAGCGGGGGGGTGGGCTGAGCTCAGCCCCCGGGAACGCAGGCCGGCGCCGTGCCCGTATAAGGCCTGCGAGGGCCCGGTGTGCGGGGCAGGGCGGCGCCGGGCGCTGCGCTGCGGCGGCTCCGCTCACCTACGGGCCGGGCCGCCCCACGGCCGCCCCCGACGCCCCGCACGGCCCGGCCCGGCCCGTTTGTGCCGCCCCGTTCCCGCAGGTCGCTTCGAACCCCTCCCGGCCGCCCCGCCGCCCGCCCGGCTCGGCTCCCGGCCCGCCGTAGGCCGCGCTGCGCGCCGTCGCCATGACGACGCCAGAGGGGCGCGGCACTTCCGGCCGCGGCCGAGCGGGGGAGGAGCGCGGGCGGAAGTGACGTCACATCCCGTGCGGCGCGGCCGGGGCGGCGGGTTCCGGTATTTCAGGGCGGGGCGGGCGCGGCGCGGAGCGGAGGGGATCATGGCGGGGGCCACCACCATCGAGGCGGTGAAGCGTAAGATCCAGGTGCTGCAGCAGCAGGCGGACGATGCCGAGGAGCGGGCGGACCGCCTGCAGCGGGAGGTGGAGGCCGAGCGCCGGAACCGAGAGCAGGTGGGGGGCGGCGGGGCGGAGGTGGGGCGGGGGGCGCAGCGTTGGGGTCCCGGCGGGGCGCCGCGGGGCCGCGCTGCGATCGGCCGCCGTCACCGGGCTTCGCTTTTTCGCCTCTGGAATCTGGGCGGTGCCGCTGGGGGCTCCGTCCGGGCTCCGCCGTGCCGCCTCAGGCGGGGGTCGGGGGTCCCGTAGGGGTCGGTGTGGGGGGGGGACCGGCCGTGCCGTGCGCCGCGGCCAGGGAGGGCCGTGCGGTGGGCGGGGGTCGGCGGGGAGCGGCAGCTCCGCCCCGGTTTTGGGGCGCTGCCGTGGGGCGCGGCGGGGCTGCGGAGCCGCTCCGGTGGCCGTAAGGAGCGGCGCTCGGGGCTGCCGGCGGAGCCGCTGCCGTGCGGTGCGGCCGGGCCGCTCCCAGCGCCGCGCCGGTTTCCTTCGCGGCCGCACGAGGGATCCTCCCGCACCGCGGCGTTGTCATGGCGACGTGCGTTGCTCGCACCCTGCAGCCGCGCTCAGCCCGCGGCCCCGGCTCTGCTCCCCGCGCCCTGGGAAGCGATGCCGGCCGGCTGCGCCCTCGGTTGGCTCCCTTCTCTGGGCTTTCTGACTCAGGCTTCGCTTCCTGAAGGAAACGGGGGACACGGGAGGTGCCGCGGGGCTGCATGGAGGTGTCACTGCGGTGCCGGCGGGGCTCCGTCCCGCGGTCCCGGCGGGATGAAGAAGCGCTGCCTGCGGGAGCCCCGGGGGGGGCTGGGGGTAGAGGAGCGACGTGCCTCCGTTTGCTGGGAGGAGGAGGAGGTTCGCCAGGGTGAAAGCTGCTCCTCTCCTCCTTCGTGGTGCGTCGCTTGGTTCCTCTTTGAGCGGAGCACTTCCTCCTCCGAAGCGGCTCTGGGTCG